AAAGAATTTTAAAGACTGGGTTTAAAATAGCCTTTAAAAATGATATAAGATAAATAATATAATATAATAAAATTATAAAATGATATTTATAAGATTAGTTCATTTAAAATTAAAGAAACCCGGCTATGCTTGATGAAATATCTAAAGTATTTTAGAGATAAGCGATGGCAATAAAACAGAAAGCACCCGCTATATTTTAGAAATTCTTTTAAGGAAATTCAGACTTTGGTTTTTCAAAACATTTAAGCATATCTACTATTTCATCAACTTTACAATAAATGTTCATTTATGTATTAGAATGAAGTAAAATGCTACCATTACGAAAAAAATTGGAAATAAACATCATTAAGTTTAGAATCAAATATATATTTTTGCTGATTTTATAAGAATAACTTTATCAGGTAATATAATAATCTACCAAATTTATTAGATTAATTAAACTGAATATGTGAAAGCTACATAGTCATCAATAAATTCTAGCTGTTATTAATTATTAATAGTCACTTGTCCAACAGTATGAAATAAATGAATTAAAACGTGATTTTTAGGTTGTTATAATTCATTTATTCCATAATTCCACACGTTCTAATTATATTCCATCTTGTGTGTATTTAAAAATTAAACTTATATTTGATGTAATTTGACTGCAAGTTCTTTTTGCTCCAATGTTGATATTTAAAAGAAATAAAGTACGAATATTCGTAATAAACGCTTCGGATGAAATTTTGCAGTTATTAAGTATTATTTTGTCCCTATTGTTGTAACACGATTAAAACTTGGAACTCGTGAAATAAGATAAGCGAGGGGGAAAAATGTACTAATAAAGAAAATTTATAAATGAACAGAGTAACAGTACTTCTCCTATATTTGTGAAAAAAATCATGGAGATTACCTTAGATTTTTAAGTAATTAGTATAAGTTGGTAAAGTACTTAAATCAAAGTTACTTATTAAGAATATAAAAAATTGCTTTACTAATAAAACTTTGATGATGTAATATTATCAGATAATAATGATGGTGGTTCATATCCACCGAAATCCTCATATTGCTACATATATATTTAAAATTTTTAATTTTACGTATTGTGCATCGCTTTTCTAATCTCATTTTATTGAAAAACTGTTCCTTCTATTTTTAACGTATTTGCTCATTTTTTAGTTAAATGAGTTACAAATGCCAACATTCCCAAAAGAATGCATTTTAAGCTACGAAATATCAGAAAATGAGAGCTAGAAGCTCAGTAAACTTAATTAATGCTCTCTATTATTTACTAAATTAAGTTAGACTATTTTTTCTGCATCCAAACATTGAATTATTTTCCTTTTATTCTTTGCGATAAAAAAAGCTTACATAAACGATAAAATCGTTTATATCGTTAAACGATAATCAATCACATGCAACAGGAGTTTCCAAATATCAAACTGCCATATGGTTCTGAAATATCAAAACACACAACCGATTTCTAAACGCAGTTGTTTCAACATTCTTCTATTCAAACAAATTCAGTCTGCGCTATTTGCAGGTCGCTCAGGAAAGAAAACGACGTCTTACACGTTACCGACTATTTCCGCATGAAGATTCAAAGCGACCCAAAGAAACGTAAATTTTAACTAGTGCTTAAACATAATATTTTTCATTTAGACTTTTCGGATCATTTTTAAAATTAGTTTTGCTACAGATGCAATCAGTTTTTCACTGATGGCATTCAACGGCAGTTTTGCAGTTATTGATCATATCACTATTCCAACGCATTCAGAACAAGAAAGTTATTTATATTTCAGACCAATCAGCAACCGAGTGGTTAAATAGAAATATCTGTAATTTCGTCCTATCCTGTCTGGCTAAAACGGGCAATTTCCATGGATTTTTTCTTGGTGTTTAAAAAATCTTCCAGAAAGCTATAGCTTTCCTAGAAGATAACCACAAAGTATTTTCTCATAATTAAATAATTTATAGAGTCATTAATTTTTTATGAAGCAAGTGACACAAAAAATGTGCAATTCCCTCGCCGGAGCTTGAACCTCGGCCTCTCAAATACGCGCCGAGTGTACTATTGTTACACCACGAAGACATGCAGAAAAGAGGGATAAAGTACCTTATATACTGCCTCTTTTAAACGACGACTAGAGATTAGGGGCCTAGTCTCCAAATCCTGGTGGTAAAGAATCATCATCCAGAGCCTTTTAGTTCGGACGTCACTGTATTGTCATTACGATTTTTTGGAAGCAGGAAATGAGAAAAATGTGCAATGATCTAAACTTCTCGAATACGCGCGAAGTGTGCTGCCGTTACAGTATAAAGGCATGCAAAAAGGAGGGAGAAAATACCTTATAAACACACAGGCCCTTACATTTTGCCCCAAATGATTACGATAAGTAAAATAATTGCCAAAACTTCTTTGTACACATACACAAAGAAGCACTTTCTGTCCAATGTATTTGACAGAATATATTTGTCTATTAAATTCGCACGGTCACTAAATTTCATTGCTAATAAATCTTCTATAAATTCAAGAATAATGACTGTTATTTATGAAATAAAAAGTCACTTTTTAAGGAGATATTTTTAAGGAGATATTGTTTATTTATGGTTTGATCAGTGATCAAGTAATTAAAAAGTCGAAATACTAATAGTTGGTTCCTATTTCTAATGATCAAGAGGTCTATTTGCAAGAGTTCTTTGCGAGATAGTCCTCGTTTGCTTCGCTATAATAAAATAATTCAGTTCACTCTTTATTTATTGAACTCGAAGTTATTAATTATTTCTAAAATTAATTAACCATACTACCTCCCTGATTTTCAGTGAGTTTTTTCAGCCTGTATATTCATGTGATTGTTCTTGTTTGTTTCATATACGAAAATAGACATGAATCTTACATAATATTTCCTTATGAATACTTCTTTCCCAATCTATCATCGGACTGTTTGATCAAAACTTCTGTAACAAGTTTTATCTTCACCTACTTACAATTTCTATAATAGTCGAGGAGCGTTAATATTTGTAATTTTCCAGCATTTGTGGATAAATGCAATGTACATATTAATGGTATTAAAACAATTTATAATATTTAACACTTTCACAGTATTTGAGGTCAAAATTGACAATGTTCTTCCTAAATAGTAACTTAATAATGTAAAATCAAGGTCAAAATTGATATGTTCAACCACATGTTTGATAATTTTATAAAATATGTATAATAAATAATAATTACGTCCACTTTTAATAGTTTATTATGTGAAAGTCTTGTAGGCATTCTAAACTTTCTTATAAATCTGTTGTAAATTTCCAGTACTTTTTGTCTAAATTATTTTTTAATAAAATTTATACATTTCGAGCAATAAAATTTATAGTTATTAATGCAGCTGCAATTCTAATAGTTTAAAATGTGTACTGTCCAGAACTATAATATCAATTTAAACGAATATAAGTGCTTATTTTCTTTTAGAAGCTAGGGATATTTCATAAGCTGTGAGATGTAAAGCAGCTTTGAAATTTTTTTTATATAAAGGTTTTTTTCAATCTATATTATTTGATTTAGAAAATAACTACAGCTGCTAAATCTTTGATTTTTTTTTGTATGCTTTAATTTTATAGAAATACACAGTCCAATCGAAAAAAATTCCCAATCTGAAATTGAAATAATAAATACAGCTATAACATATTTATAATGCATAAACGAAAGTAGCACGATTTGTCAATGTCGTTTTCAGAGTAAAACAGATTTTCATCACTGTGCTCGAATAATCACGTATCAGTACAGGATGTTAACACGTAATACGAATACTACATTTGCACTTTTGCCTCAAAAACAGCAGCGTCCAAATGCTTGGCCTACTTAAGGTGTACTATCCTAAAATTTCATTGTAGCTTTCCTGTCATTTCCTAACGCAATAATTCTTTTGCTATTAGTATCAAACTTAGGGACTATTATTATTATTATCATATTAATTTAGCAAATTAAATTATTATTATTATATCAGCACAGTTAATTAACATCAAGTTTGTACGTGGTATGCCAAATTTAAACCGAGACTGAAAATATGAATTAAAATTAATTGAATGAAGTTCAGACATTAATTAAAAGGGTAGGTAATTCTATACGAGACATTACCTACACATTTGTTTAATTTTATAACTGAAGAATGGCACTTTATAAACAATAAAAATGCCAATGATAGCTATACTTGTACAGGATAAGATGATCTTTCCTTCTTTCTCTCTCCGAGACAAATCAGAAGGAGTAGATGGAGTTATTTGACAATTTTATGTAAGCTTCTTTTTGTGTGATGAAATCAAGTAGTCGCTCTGTGGAGAATATGCAATAATTTTTGAGCGAAAGGTTAAAGTAACAATCCTTACAGGTATCGGTAATTTGGAATGGGCTGTTCCGGAAATAAACATATGAATTCCTTCGTGATAAATACATTGCAAAATTAATGTAAAATGACATACAACACTTAATAAAATTCAAAAACGCGCGATTTTAGCTTAGTAACATTCTATTGTGTTACAGCGCCAATTCAGAAGCACTACTGTAAGGCACTACTTAAATTTGCCTTCTAGCTCCTACTATGGTTTTAATTTATGGTATGGTACCCAAGTTTTAGTTTTAAAACTTCTACTTTTAGGTGTTCCCAGAGGAGGATCTGAAACTGTGGGGTTTAGTAAACGTTTTAGCTCACCACATCGTTTCACATGTATCTATGGAAAGAGGAACTTGTGTGGAAGCTTTTACTTTGCAGCTTCCTAGCTAACCTCCATTCGCGTCGCAGTATATTACTAAGAAAATTCTACACTGACGATGACAAATGGCATATCGTGCTCTTGTAATCCTTATGCAGTTGCAAACATATATATTCTCTCTGCTGCTTTTGTTATTTCCATTTCATATTTGGGAGGTTTTTCTACCAGACTTTTGATAAGCCGTTTTCTACTTTATTAGTATGAAGGAAACTTTTCACAAGTATTCTAGGGATTTAAATTATTTTTCCCTTTCACAGGTGGTTAGGGAATTCAGAGTACCGGGTCCAACCACAGACTACACAAGATGCTCGCCTTTTCAACTCTCAGCCAGTCTCCCGCGCCATCTTTTAGTGCATAGCAGGCGGCAAAGCTAAAGACGTCCAAAGCTCAATCATTGGAGCCATGAACTAAACATAGAGGACACGTTGATCACAATAGTCATTGCATACATTGTACAGTAATTTGTATAATAAAAAGATGAAATTTGTATAAATTTTATTCCTTTGTTTTATTTTATTTATTTTATAGCTTCTTGTATATTTTGAGCTAAAGATTGAATTCCGGATTCCTCATCAAACACAGAAATGAACCAATACTCAAAGCAAGTATTATATTTATAGTATCACGTGCATGTTAGATGTCCAAAACGTTCTAGCACCTTGGATTAAATTCTTTTATATAGAATTTCTGTGCTGAAAGGAGATAAGTATATGCACATAAAGTATAATTTATGCATTTTAATGCACAAGAAAAAGCAGAGCTGCATAGGAAAACGTAGAGTTATATCTAACATTTTAAATACATAGCAGGTGGTTACCCATTATGGTTAAATTAATTACATTTTCCAAAGCAAAGGAAATTCGTTATTTTCCGTATAACCTTGAAACACAACCTTATATATATATAATATATATATATATATATACACTCCTTTATAACCTTTTAATTGAATAAGAAATTATTTAATCTACAATAACTTTTATATGTAAATTAAATAACGTGACAAATTTACTTTCAACATTCAAACTACCAAAAATTTCATAATGAAAAACGTTTGCTTGGAGCAATAATTAAAAGTAGCTTTAGAAATTAGAAAATTTATTTTTCTTCTCTCGCTGAATGAGAAAAACAATTCGGAAAAAAACATATTTGAAATATGGATCAAAAGCAATTATATGTTCAAATTTAACACTAACAGTTTGTTCTACAAAGAAACTTAGAGATAGACTATTTCTGAAGATTATTTGAGGACAATCAAGTCATCAATGATAACATTTATTCAAAAACATTCATATGTTATGTACCACCCCATTTTCTTTGCAAACCTTATTATGACCACTTATGGGTAAAAAACGAAGTTAAAGCATCATTTCGGAAATTTTCTCCCCTAGACTGCCAAAATAATACACAGAAGACGCACAATAAACCGTAAGATTTATATAATTACCGTTCATGCATATCAGCAATATGCAGTTGCGGTATAACAAGTGATGGATATCAGCTATCAAGATCAAATTTATACATTCAAACAAAATGCTCGATTGCTCATTGGGATTTCTTGCATTTACACGGGATTTTATTTTTAATTTCTGTAAAACTGGTTAGACACTTTAAATGCGCCTTATTACCTGGCAACTCTTAAAAACCATTTAATAAAATTTAACGAACAGATTTAAAGCAAGTGCCTACAAGAAGTTATACAGCTAAATATTGTTGATGGACTCCTTGGAGAGAGTTTCAAGACCCGTTTAAAACAATGGAAAGCACAAGCAAGTATCTTTAGTTTATGTCAAAAGTTCTGATGCTAAATTTCATTCTCTTACAAAGTCACGGATGTTGAAAACTGAGTGGTAAGTGTATCGGTAAAAATTGCTTCAATTCACGGTCTCAATGTTTTTAAAAATAATAAAATAGTCAGATGCAGTTTTGTGACATTCAGATCATCTAATACCATTTTAATGAAAAAAAGTCAAACAAATATGGGCCGCATTACTTGATACAGATAAGAGTTACAATATTATATGCTGAATAAAAAACTACACGAAACTGATTTTTTAACCGCTGAGCCAAAGTTCTTCAACTCTAAGCTTAATAAAACGGTTTTTACCAGTTTCTGTATTATTTCGTCATTGGGGTTAGGATATTACATCAACATTCAACTCATTTATATTCATTTTTAAGTGAAAAATTAAAGCTCGCAGAAATTTCTTTTAGATATTATATTATTTATTGGCTGTGTCATGAATATTAATAAAAAAGTCATGCACGGCATAGTTTTATGTTTAGTTTAGAATGCTGACTTAAAAGTCTCCAAATTTTCAAGTTAGTTTAGAATGCTGACTTAAAAGTCTCCAAATTTTCAGGTTAGTTTTTAACTATTATTAATGTTTATTTAAATCTGATTTTGCTTTATGAGCATTCCACAAAGAATGGTATAATTGAAAAAAAACTTAGCATATATGTATAGTGAAAGAATAATTTTAATAATCAAAGAAAGCAAACGCTGTTCTGTGAAATGCAGGCTTATGGATTATTAATTGACGATCAGAATAAGTAAAAAAAAAAAAGAAAGGTTTTGTAAAATCTTTTCAAACATTTGCTATGAAGGTATTCAGGATTCTTTTTAAAGCAAACAAAAATTGTAGCAATTTTCAATCGCATACAATATGCAAGTCAGACAGTAGTTTACATTGCAACAGAAACTTGAACAGACAGACAGGAATTCTGTTTCCCTTAACTTCTATCCCAAATACAGTAAAATTAGGATACACAGATGAGCTAGAAAATCATATCATTACAGATATACAATACAAAAATATTCTTAAAATTTATTGTACCAAACTTTTGTGCATTATATGGTTAATGTTTAATTAAAATGCACTGCTAATCCTAAATTACGAATTTTATCATAAAATATATAATTTTGGATACGCACATAAATCATACTTTTAATGAAATACAATTTAACAGTAAACATGAATTCGTTAAAATACAGTACTCTATGAAACAAAAGCCCTTACAAAGCAGTACAAACGGTATTATAATCTTAAAGTGAAAACGGATTATGTTTTCATTTCCACTTTGCAAAATACTGCTCCTAAGTCGATTTTGAGATTTTATACATTAAAAATTAAATTCATGGTCTCAGATGGGAAGTGATTTACAGCTTCATGAAACTTCTGAAAAATGTGGTTATGAGGTGATTAACAACTCTGTTTAATTGACTGGAGTGATTTACAGATCTAATGTCTTTAAATCTCCTTTAGATATATATGTTTTTTTCATGTATTTTAAAGTTTAGGGCAATATCCTTTTCTAGTAGGGTTACTACTGTAAAAATATTGTCATCGATACTAATAATAGATTCTCATTATCAGATTTTTAAACCCACATGTATAGACGTAAATCCTTTTCATGAGTAACAGTACTTTCTCATTCGTGATACTTTAACGCTCTTTGCATTTTCGGACAGATGTTTTCTTGTAAAAATTTCAGCTTGACGTGGACAATTTCTGAAGACATTTTCAAACACATTGTCCTAGACCTTCCTAAACTCCGTGTTTGCAAGCAAAGGATTCACTGTGCATTATTCTTCCTTTAAAATGCATCGAATTACAACAGTTACAGTACATTAGGGTAATGATATTTCCAGCTTTTAATTACCTCTAGGAATCACTGATAGTGGATAAAGTCTGTGTCTCTTAAAAAACATATACTAAAGATTTCTAAATATGACCATTGAAGAATTATCTTCTAGCCTTGTGAAACAAAACAAAAGTCAGAAGAAGGGTGTATAAGACCCTTTTATTCGAGCACCAAATTAAGAATTACACAGCTTGGGTTCACCCAAGCCAAGCACTTCTGGCTTAACAGAAATAGATGATGATCAAATTCAAAATGTGGTAGATTAGCTTAACGGCTCAGAGGATAATTTAACGCACAGGCAATCTTAAATGACATAAAAGCATGTGCATTTGCAGAATGTATCCAGAGAATCTTTTTAATATAAGCTCAGACAAAATTTTCTCTGTATACATTATAATGTTCCTCAGAACTTTATCTATACTGCACGTAGAGGAACCTAATGAACTGTAGAGCTACTTTTCACTGAATTCACATGTATAATAACAAAGTTCAGAGAAGGGTTGAAATACCCTTTTATTCACTCAAAGAAATAATAACAGATGGCCCCTTCTCGGACTTACAAGAATGCCTCCACCCGGGCTTTTAACTCAAGATAAGGAAATAAGGAACTAATCTAATACTAAATTAAACAGACTTAGCCATATCTGGACACAAATACCTAACGTAGTTGGCCCTCAATCAGCCTAGACGGCGATTATCAAAAAGCAGTAGATTTAAGAACGAGTGCAGTAGATTTAAGAACGAAGTAGGCAGACGGCAAAGGGCACCACTAAGGTATCCTAAGCTCTCTCAAAGTAAGCTGAACCTTCCTTAAATACCCCTTTTAACTCATTTGCATATAATGAGATACTAAAAACTCATTCTGATAGGGCACAACAGATGGGAAACGAGAATAGACAGTAAAGCATGTTTAAACTTAAAATAACTGCTAGAAACTTAAACTGTTACATCATAATGAATGCACGCAAAATCTGACAGAAAATTACATTGAATTAAGTAAGCTCAACAAATTGTTAAGTAACGTATACTTTATTATTCCTAGAATTTATTACTTAAATCCGATAACAAAGAAAAATATTGAGATTTTGTTGCTTCATCTTAAAAGCACTTAGCAACGCAAATAAATTTTTAAGTAAATTTATTTTGGATAGAAGCAAGTAAATTTATATGAAATTTCGTTTTAAACGGAAGTAGTACGTACTACTGGGACCAACAAATCATCATATGATGGCGAATATGTGTTGCCTTAAATTAGAAGCATGGATCTCTTTTTAAAGAGGGGAACCCAAAACTTGCCATCAGTTAAGCAACATCTATTAAATACAGAGGAGAGCGTACATTTTACGAAAAGAATCAATAAATTAGTTTATTAGCACATCGGATATCAGAAAACCAGGTAACAAATCAAAGAAACATACGGATAACTTATTTAGCATTGCTTTTCTGAAGAAAAATGTACAACGCAAGCAAAACACAAGGCCTTTGTGGTTACCCAAATTTTATTCCTTTTGAAATTCCGCATCACTGGTATATCTTTAAGACATCACTAATACAAAAATTTGAGTGATTTTTAGAATAAAACATGATTATATGTACTAGTAAAATCAATCGAACTACGTTGATGGAAACGGTACAAAATTTTTCAGAATATACTTTAGTGCTAGTTGAAAGGTAAAACATTTGAGTTTCTCCTTGTGTTTTTAAACTTGTTGATTTATAGCCATTTAAATACAGTTCAATCAATCGATTCATTATGATATCTCTTATAAAAGATGTTTGTGAAACCCGTTTCCTTTCTTTGTTTCGGAAAAAGAATACTACATGAAATATTTTTCATAACAGTGTTCAACTTC